TCAATTCACACCTTAGTCCTAAACCTAATTCCCACCCCAAGAAGAGAAACTTTCCTTATGGGGACCAGTTGTTGGTCCCCACAAGTACCTATGAGTCCCCAAAATGTAGCATATTCCTAGGAAATTGTCCCCACCAGGTATTAAAGACATGGCCACACCCACACACACACACTCACACACACCTATGGCCAACTTAGAGTCACCAGTCGACCTAACAGATGCGTGTTTGGATTGGGGCAGGAAGCAGGAGTACCCAGAGAGATAAAAAAGGAAAATTCTTTAGTACACAAGTCTCCCAATGAACAAAAATTGGTTGAAAAGAAAACATGATTTTCGTCCAAAGGTTTACATTTGGTTGAAAAGTGAAAGATGAGAAGCAGCAATTTTCTGATCGATGAAAAAACAAAACCTTCAAAGTCTTTTCAACGTCTATTATTGGACTAAAGTGGGACAAAATCAGACCGGCCGAACAAAGCCCAGTTTTCAACAATTATTTCTGGACTAAATCCAGACTATTATGGACCGACTGGATTTAGCCTAAAAACCGACGTCTAAATGATGTCTGATTTTTGGGGCGTTGTGTTAGAATGGAGCCTAGGCGGAAGTTCACCTGAATTAAACGATTACTTACCTTTACCTGCCTCCGTCACAAGCCAATAAGTTTTTAACCAAACCTCCAAGAAAACCAATCAGCATCCATTGCCCATCTTAAATGGTCTTCAAATCCACATCTCAGTCTGCTACCCAAAGCCTTGGCAGTGGTTGCAAAATGTCAGACTTTGACTCAGATGACCCCAATTCAACCCACCTCCAGCCCCTTCGCCACCATCGTAGAGTCGTAGAGTCCTCCAGGACTCTTACTGCGTTCCATGTCTCATTTCAACCGGTCCAGCAGAAGACCGCAATGTTGAACCTGGTTCTGCCAGAGGTTTCTTCCTAAAGGGGAGTTTTTCCTCTCCACTGTCGCTTCATGCTTGCTTATCATGGACAGATTATCTCAACCTGTGTTATCCAAACTGGACTCTCATCTTCAAGGTCCAAGAGCGAAGCACTAGTACCAGCTCATGCAGTCCACTGGAAGTCTCCATTCAGCTCAAGCACAACGTCTCACCAGCCAGCAGACATGGACCAACCAACTTCATCCATCTCCACTCCACCACCAGTTCCAGGCCTGGAGGAAACATCCCTTTCATTTACTCCTGTTAATGCATATCACAGCAAAATAAATTCTAATGTTTCCTGCAGAGGTCTGAGCGCCAAAGACTTAAAGGAATAGTACACCCAAAACATGATTAGCCTTCATTTTCTACTCACCCCCATGCTGAACAACACTCTGGAGTACTTTTTTGA